TGATCAGAATCTGAGTTCTCCCTACAATGTCTTCCCAATTAATTTTAAGATCAAATATGGCAATCTGTTCGTTTCTCAAGCCTGTAACTGAGCAGGCAGTTAAAAGCTTGTACCTACATGTAGGTTAAATATCATGTTGTTTGTTTACTTGCATGAGGCTGTGGATACCATGTCAGTTTATAGTGCAGTTTGTTTTGGTGATTTAATTTTATGTAGCTTTACACTTAATGGGTTAGCACATTCAAGATGTCTAAGGTTAGATCTGAAGATAGTAAGTTCGGCTAACAAAAATCTCATGTATACACACTGTATGTTTGTAGGTCGATTTGTTCTTTTGGTGAGAATGATCTCAACCTAGGCTAGATTAATTTGTTCCAACTGAGGTTAAATGTTTTTTGCATTTTTGAATTCTTAAAAAGAAAAACATGCACACCACCCAGCCCCCTCAGTTCCCAATGCTAACTCAGCAGGGGTATTTTGCAGAATGCCGAATGCCAAAGGCCAAATGCACTGCTTGCTTGCGGTTTAGTAGTTTCACTCATGTTTGCTTGTGGTTAGCTTTTGTTTGTTAAGGACAGTATTATATTGCATATGGCCCTGTGCAACAAATAAAAGCTAACCACAAGCAAATATAAGTGAAACTAACGGCAAGCAAACAGTGCATTTGGCGTTCTGCAAATTACCCCTGCCGATGCTACCCTGCCGTGCCATGACCCCTGATATCCCCCTTTCCTCTAACACAGACACTAACCCTAACCTAATAGAGTTTAACACCTGTCTCTGACTTTGTAGTCCACCCCCATCTCCACTAGGCCACACAAGAAATCATTGCAAATTTGCACAAATTTGTTGGACTCCTGCTTCCCCTTTGACACAAATTAATCTAGGTTGAAATCATTCTGACCTACAGAACAAATTGACCTACAAAAGGTACATGGGTAGCATTGTGTAATAATTCTGTAATATTTTGAGCTGCCAACACTCATTTTGGTTGTAATTTATAGGTTGCTGCTGATGCTATTGAAAGTTCATTACTCAAGTACAGTGCTAAAGAGTATTTCTTCAAGGCAGCTCTTTGTCACATGTGTATAGACATTGTGGAGGCACAGAGGGCAGTAGGAAAGTATTGTGATATGTACCCCGCATTCCAAGACACCAGGGAATGTAAACTGTTACAGGTAATCAGTATGAACTTGCTACAAATTCTCAAACATGTCTTGAACTTGTGAAGACCATTTCTTCCAACAACACTTCTTTATATGTAGGAATAAGACAGAAAAGCTGACTGATTAGAACACTAGAGATGCCCTGTGTTTTAGCCCTCCATTTTGTAAGCTGTTCAGCTACAAATTATAAAAACAGACAGTGAGTAAATGATGTTGCATTACCTCCAACCCAATTAGTTTTTTTATATATATATATATATATTATTATAAAAAGGAATAGGTTAAACAATTTAAATATCCACACTACTAAAACCCAGCCTGTGAAGTGTCTAAAGGGGGATGTCTCTTCTATCTTCTTTCTTCCCGCTTTCTCTTCACCCCATCCTCTACTAGAGAACCTGTTC